TGCCTTTGAAAGAGCCGAAAAGTATATTTTGCACCATATCCGCGTTTTACCCGATCGGGTAAAACGCGGATATGCCTTTTAAAGAGCCGAAAAGCATATTTTACACCATATCCGCGTTTTACCTGATCGGGTAAAACGCGGATATGCCTTTGAAAGGGCCGAAAAGCATATTTTACACCATATCCGCGTTTTACCCGATCGGGTAAAACGCGGATATGCCTTTGAAAGGGCCGAAAAGCATATTTTACACCATATCCGCGTTTTACCCGATCGGGTAAAACGCGGATATGATGTTTAAAACATATTTGAGAGAAAAATAGGTCATCCGTCCGTCCGTCCGTTCGTCCGTCCGTCCGTCCGTCCGTCCGTCCGTATCAGCGTTTTACCCTAACCCATTTCCACAGGAACATTTGTGACTAAAAGCCTAAATCGTTCGTCGCTGCTAAGCTCCTTAATTTGAAGGAGCAAATCCGCCATTTTGACAAGTTCGGCAGAACGCGAACGTGGAGCGAGCGTTATACAAGCATAAATTATATAATATAAACATAAACTAGGCGTAACCACAGGTTAAAAGTCGGTCCTTTACTTTTGCCAAAAGTCGGTCGGTCGGTCGGGTTTCTTATGATGTAACGATTTGCGTCAAATAAACATGCACATGACAAGGTACTTTATTTCATATTGTCTATTGATATATTCAAAATATAAAACAGTAACAACTTTTCAAGTTTATGCAAAGGAGTGGTGATAATATATGGGCCAATATTGCTCATTATATAATAAAAGCCGGCCAATTTACACTGAATATTCTGTTCAATTTAGATAAATTTATCAAAATATGAACTTGACTAATTGGTTTCCAATTACGTCACTTGCTACAAATTACATAACAAATTGTTACATTCGCGCAAAGTCGCCTTCTATGAATAGCATGACGTGTCAATGACAATACCGATTGACAAAGCGCAATTTAAAGATAAATATTAAAGCCCGGGACATGACTTTCAAACAACAGACGTTTCATTGTATACATCACAACATCCTCATGCACAGCATTTAATCTTTTTGATTATCTGTCTTCAATAACAGTTAGTAGTTGCTAATTTAAACTTCATTTGATGTACAATTTGATGAACAAAAGTTAAAGGTACATGTATAAAAATGCATCAGTATCCATGAGTAAATAAAACACTGGACGGCATGAGTGTCCCTATATGTCGTGTGTCGTGGGTTAAAAGTCGTGTGTCGTGGGTAAAGTCGTGGGTAAAGTCGTGTGTCGTAAAATGTGCTAAAAACGCATTTTTTCACGAAAATATTTTTATTTTTAATATTTTTTTCGTACCCTTTCCTTTTATGCGCTATATAAATACAGGAAAATTTAACGCAACAAATCTCCAGTAATAAAATAATATACATGTTGTTTCTTATCTTGCTGTTATCTATTGTATAAGAAGTAAATGTGTCCGTTTCGTATAGTCTAATAAGTCTATAGATATATTGCTTGATGATAAAATGTCGTAAGTTATAGGATATAGGTTTATTAGCTTTGGAAGTGTTATAGTCCCTATCACGAACGTCGCGAATAACTATATATGTCGACGGCATATGTCTGATACAAACATAGTGAGCTATAAATTGTACGCTGTATTGAGTGTAAAGACTGTAAAGTGGCCAACGCTCGAGTCTCAAATTTTGCTATTTTATCTCAGTCCTAGTATATGTTCCCGTGGAACTTCTTGTTCAAAAAATTCCTGTGAGAATAACCCATCGCGTATCAAACTTTCAAAGAAAAATAAATGCAAAACCTAGTCAATTAAGAACACTACAGCATCAATCGGTTCCAGTACCAGGGAAAAGTTTCAACCGTAGAAATAACTTAACTTATATTAGTGGCCACCAAACCAAAAAAACGCCCTTACTCTCTTCTCTACCGAATTTATTTGTTTCTAATTCAAGATCGCTGATCAGCAAGATTGACGAACTGTCTGCTACAGTAAAATCCTATACATCAGACATTGTCGTTGTTACCGAAACGTGGCTTTCTTCAAATGTTCCCAATTCAGCAATAGATTTATGCGGTTATTCCTTACTGAGGCATGATCGTTCCGACGGCAGACGAGGAGGTGGAGTCTGTGTCTTTGTAAAGGACATGCTTCCGTTCATTCATCTTAAAGAGATTGAAAGTCACGAATATGAGTCGCTTTGGTTACTCTTAAAACCTCACCGCTTGCCTCGTGTTTAAATTCAATTGTATTGGGAATCGTGTACCATCCACCTGGAAGTGACGATAAAGCCCTTCTTTCACACCTTACCGAATCAATCGATTCTGTCCTTTCCACCAATCCCGGTGCAGGAATTATTTTGGCCGGAGATTTTAACCAATTTAAACATCGCCAGTTATGCAGTTCCTTTAACCTAAAGCAGTTAGTCAAAGACGCTACTAGAGGAAAGAATATTTTAGATAAAATATTTACCAACATTTCCAAATTTTATAATTCTGCCCTGGTAATTTCTCCAATTGGACATTCCGATCATAATTCCATCGTTCTTAAACCTCTTCCAGCTAACTCTTATGGTGGCACAAGGTCTACACGTTTAGTACGAGACTCTCGCCCAACCAATCGTCGAATTGTTAGCAATCATCTGTCGAAAGTTAATTGGTTACCTTTGCACCATATGGAATCTTGTGACGAGCAGTTCCAGTATTTTTCCACCATCGTTGATAATATCATAAACGAACATTTGCCTTGGAAACAAATCAAAATTGATTCTAGTGACAAGCCCTGGATTACTTTCGAAATAAAATCTCTCATTTCCAAGCGGCAGACAGCATGGGCGGCTGCCAATAACCTGATGTTCAGATTCTATCGAAGCAAAGTCAATGCACTTTGCAAGAAGGCACGACTAAATTACTACAATAAAAGTATCGCGGGCGTTCAACAGTCCGATTCTCGTAAATGGTGGTCAGCGGTGAAGAATATTGCCGGACTTCAGTCTTCTAAGAATGTATCTACAATGATGTTCCAAGGTAAATCCTACTCTGATGCCGATTTAGCAAATTTGCTCAACGACAAGTTCGTTGCTGTAGGGTCCTCCTTACCCAATCTAACCTGGCTCCCCCTTCCCACAAATGACATTCCAGATGATTTCTGCATCTCTGTCGAGGAGACTGAAAAGGCCCTATTATCATCTAAACTTCATTCATCTGCTGGTCCCGATGAAATTCCTTCTTGGCTTCTCCGGGAAAACGCTTCAGTGTTGTGTCGACCTTTGTGTTCTATTTTTAATTCATCAGTTCGTGAAGGATTTGTTCCCTCAATATGGAAGGCAGCAAATATTACACCAGTTCAAAAATCTTCGCCTCCTAAAGATGTTGATTCTGACTTCAGACCAATCTCCCTCACCAATTATCAGCAAGATTCTTGAATCCTTTCCCTACAAATGACTACTTGACTCCGTCTCAAAAAAAATTGATTCCTTGCAATTTGGTTCGCTGAAGGGTTCAAGCACTAGTATGGCATTAATCTACATGCTACATAAATGGTTTGAAGCAGCTGACAAACAAGGCAACACTATACGGATTTGTTTACTTGATTTTGCCAAGGCGTTTGATAGATTAGATCATAACATTCTGTTGGAAAAATTGAAAGACATGGAAATTCATCCCGTATTACTCAACTGGATCGCAAACTTCCTAACAGGCAGACAACAAAGAACCCGTGTTGGTCAGTTCTTTTCTGAGTGGAAGTTTTTAAACGCCGGCGTCCCACAAGGAACGAAACTTGGCCCGCTATTATTTTTGATCATGATAAATGACTTGGCTGTAGTGGATGAAACTGTTAAATTTGTCGATGATACTAGCCTTTGGGAAATAATATCAAACAATTCCCCTTCCCAGTTACCCGCTAACATCATCAGCTGCTCTGAATGGTCATCAGACAATAATATGAAGTTAAAGTATCAAAGACCAAAGAATTGCGTGTCTGCTTTTCTAAGCTTACCCATCGTTTGCCCCATTACCATTCGCGGTCAAGAGGTCGACGTCGTTTCCGAGGCCAAACTATTGGGCGTTGTCCTTTCGGACGACCTCAAATGGAACTGCCATATTGACTACATTTGTAAGAAAGCCGCGAAGCGTTTGTACGGTCTGCGCCTTCTTAAAAGAAATGCTTTACCTTCTCATATTCTGATCTCAACCTATTGTACACATATTCGACCAATTGTCGAATATGCTTGTCAGGTGTGGCATTATGGCCTTCCTCATTACCTGAGTGATCAAGTTGAAAAAATACAAAAAAGGGCATTAAAAATTATTTTCCCTGGAACTATCTATGCTGAATGTTTGCTTAAAGTTAACTTGACGACTCTTTACGAACGTAGAACTGTCCATTGCAAGCGACTTTTTTCGAAGATGTTGGAACCCACTCATAAACTGAATGCCTTAGTACCGCCTAAAAGTCTTCAAACTTATAATCTGAGGTCTTATCCCAACTTATTAGTACCTAGGTGTAGAACTGAACGTTTTTCGAACAGTTTCATTCCTGCTGCGTCTCATGCTTATAATAATAAGTAAACTTTAGATTATTATCGTTATTTTTATCTAACTTACCTATTTTTACCTGTAAATATAGAATAGATTAAATACCTATGTTCTTATACCCTGTAATTCCAAAGTAATTCAGTTGTTACTGCTAGTTTGGAAATTTATAATAATAATAATAATAAGAATAGTCCGCGAATAGTCGACGAATAGTACGAATAGTCGACGAATAGTGCAATAGAGACTTTGCAAGGCTTTCCACCGTGCTGTAGAACTAAATTTGCCGAAGCGGAGCGGGGGGGGGGGGGCTCTATTGACAAACATGAAATCGTGAAAACATTCGTTGATGTCAATGACGTCATACGTAATCGGTAAAAATTACGGGACCACTGAGTTTTAACAAATATTTAACAGGAAGTAGAATGACAATCAGTGGCGCCGTGGGACCCATGTTTTTTTTTTGGGGGGGGGGCAAGGGCAGTACTTTTCCGACAAACCGAAAAATTTTTCCGACAAACCAAAAAGTTTTCCGGACGACAACATTTTAAATCTTCACTCCCCCCCCCCGTCGACAACTTTGACAATTTCCGACAGCCTTGACAATTTTCCGACAATTTCCGGCAGCATTGGCAATTTTATGACGGGTGTCAACAATAGGGGAGGGCCATGCCCCCTCCCTGCCCCCCCCCCGGCGCCACTGATGACAATCACTAGACGTATGACGTCATTGACGTACGTCGACGAATGTTTTCACGATTTCATGTTTGTCAACAGAGCCCCCCCCGGTAAATTTAGTTCTACAGCACTGCTGCAAAGCCTTGCAAAGTCTCTATTGCACTATTTGTCGACTATTCGTACTATTCGTCGACTATTCGTACTATTCGTCGACTATTCGCGGACTATTCGTACTATTCGTCGACTATTCGCGGACTATTCGCACTATTCGTCGACTATTCGCGGACTATTCGCACTATTCGTCGACTATTCGCGGACTATTCGTACTATTCGTCGACTATTCGCACTATTCGCTTCACTATTCTAGTTTTATCAATTGCCCAACAATTTCCGCACGTAATACAAATATACTGAAAAAAATGCAAACTTCACAAGGCTATATTTTCTTTACTTTTACAATATTTCGCAACCAAATTTTGCAGTTTTACTAATTTCATTGTGTTCTTTTTAACTGTTGTGTTTGTCTGTTTGATTCCCTTCTCTTTACTTAGATTAAAATTTAGTCTAACATGCAAGTTGTCCATTTGTGTCTTTCCGCTTCTGTAATACAAAAAGTCAAAGAGGTATAATCAAGAGATATTGCCAAGTTAATGTACATGGTTGACGGAAAGATTTATATAAGTAGTTATTTTACGATTAATGGCTAGTTCGTTTTTGGCCAGGGAAGAAAACCGGA